ATTAGCGAACATTAAAACTAAAAAAAGATCAAGATTGTTAAATGTAGAAGACGATATGAGAGTAGCCTTGTCATTTTTACGACCAAATATAAATTAAATTATCAAAAAACATCAAGCTCAAATTTCGCATTAAAAATATTTTTATTATTAGCTTGTAATTAATCCCTTAATAAACGTTTAGTTATTATTGTAGTATATATTAGTTTATTTCGTATATTTAAAATTTTTGTCATAAACTATTTATGCAGTGTGTTGTAGTAAGTAAATTATAACTTTGTGTGCCGCCAAATTTTGAAATCTTTAAATATGTGCCGCAACAAAAAAAATGTTGAGAATCACTGATTTAGAATAACGTATCCTAAACGACATATTTCGAAGCAGACTATAGTAGGTACCACGGTGTGTATCGACGAGGTGTGGGGTCAATAAATGGACCGCTCACAGTGGATCTGCGCTGCCTCTCCCCTCTCTCCAAACCAGACCCTCGTCCCTCAAGTCAAATGGACCCGTCGTCCGCCTCAAGACGATGTTCCGCAATATTTCGCCGCGAGGTTCCTCCCTGTCGTTGTGTCATTTACTTTGCAACGGAGATAAAAAAAACTACGCTCAGATATGACGCTTTACGGCCGGTTTCAATATCCTATCTACAGATAGATTTGGTTACTGGAGATAGAATTTTGACGTGAGTAAAATGGAGCTAATGTCAAATATCTATCGCTAGTAAACAAATCTATCTGTAGATAAAATATTGTAACCGGCCGTTAGTTTGCTATAGATGTGTCATCATTATATGAATAACATATGATGATGTTTGCTTCAAATGCTTGTACTTAGACATGAGGTCCATCCTTTTCTCTCCTTAAAGTAAAATATGGATTCAGTCTAGTAGCAACGCGGAAAAGTTCATATCCCTTAAAGAAAACATAAATATGTTATTAAGAGAAGTGTCAAGAAATTTATTCTAATGACTAACAATGTTTGTTATCAATTTAGGAAACTACTTTGAACGTTTTCGCTGATTGTCAGCTGACGCTCAGAATCGCTTCTACAGGAAATTCAAATTTCCGGAACATAAACTAGCTTAATTTGAGACACGGAAAAATATTATATATATATATATATATATATATATATATATATATATATATATATATATATATATACGTAGATACACCTCAGTAAGATAATGCCATGTTGAAATCGCTTTTCGATTCACGGAGAAAATTAAGCTCGCTCGGGAAATAATTGCCCCCGTCTGCCGGCAGGGCGCTTTCGAGGCTAATCGTTCGTCGGAAGCCGTAATCGCCCTGCGATGGGCCGTGATGGCACGAGACGGGTAATGAGACTTTTGCTGTGCTCGTATATTTTATAACCAGTGCTAAGGGTCAGATGGGACACCATTGCCGTCGCGTCATCGACTGAGTCGTCGGGCCATAAAGGTCAATAGGGATAGGAAAGTGCGCCCGAACATGTTATCAGGTGATAGTTACAAGGTGATATTAGCCCTCAAACTCGGACAGTGATTCACAACGTATTACAGTTTGTCCTATTCTTATTCTTCATTTTCGTGGTCTTCATTACTGAAGGTCGTGTCCGTCACTTTGGCTTTCTTCAAGGCAGTGGAAACAGAAAGAACAGTTATAGCTTTGATTTGATCAGACCAACGGGTAGGTGAACCAGGTGGTTTCGTGTTTGTAAATGGACTGAAAAGTGACCCGAAATGGATTCACTGAATTTCAATAAGATATATTACTATGATTTCCTCTATCGATATGCGCTTTTACTCATCTTACGCACATCACTATGCGGTTCAATAAGACGACTAAATGCGAGATAGGCATAAAGAAATGATTTATGGCCCGATGACTCAGGTGATACGCGCCGAGTCTAACCCATTGAGATCATGGGATGCATATCACTGTAGGGGTGAGTTAAAAAAGTGCAGAGGTGATGGTAAAATCGGATACGCTTATTAAAACATTGATTCGGATATTTGATAAAAACAAGCTCTCATGTAATTTAACTTTAATGTGATTGTATAGAGGGAGATAACGTAATTCACGTTTCACCGTGCATATAGGTTTTTTTTATGAAAGAAGATAGCAAGCGAGCTGGCGGTTCACCCGATGTTAAGTGATAACCGTCGCCCATGGACATTTGCAACACCAGTAGGGTTGCAGTTGCGTTGCCACATTTTAATAAAGTGGGCCCCAAGTGATTGTTCCCTATAAAAAGCTAAAACTTTATTAAACTTTATTACAAGTCGTAATGAATTTACGTTTGCTCTGCACGACGAACAATTATCCGTAGTTCCGTGTCGGAATCGTACCAACGCTATCCGGCTCGCGAGTCAATAGTTTAGCCACTGAGTCATCACATTCAACTATGCTAATGCCAATCAATTTCTCGCCTGTAACGGTGTACGCTTGCTACGTAACAACACATAACCTTCTGACCTACTTTGTCTACTTTATCTACTCCTATCGCGAATGCAATTAGAAGTTATCCCATCGAGTTTTGTCGATTATTTCCACCCTTTGATGTATCGTCAGTATATTTTTTAACGATAGCATAGCTTGACAAGCCCTAGGACGAAAATTTGAGTTTTTTTATTAAAACTTGCAGAAAAGTTTTAATGTGCATAGATTAGCACTATAGAAACTTTAAATTTTTGATCTTTTTATTATAAATTTGAAATTCAATTTCATTATTCACCTACAAGATAATTGGCTTCTATGATATATACAACATCATAATATATTATAATTAGTACCTACTACACCGTATTACACCTTAGTTCTTTGTTCCATAATTTTCACTTATCCCGAACCAGAAATAAAGGCCCATTTACACGGTGCCAGTTTCTTGCCTGTTGTATACAATTAAATTGAAGCAATAAATAAGTTGCATGGTCTAAACAACAAATGGTCTAACCAATTATTGCGCGCAATTTATTGCATTCAATTATTGCTCTTGCATGTACAAGAAAATGGCATCGTGTAAATGGGCCTTAATGGTTCCCGTAAAAATTCTAAAGTTTAAATCGTACACCAAAAACATTTTACCGTGTAATATTAGTTCACTTTGTAACATTAAAATGGTCGTAGAGTCAACAATGTTCTTGACGTGGACTCATCAGATGAATTGAAATGCATCATGGTTCTTCGAATTTCTGATATTACCGACCGCTCGGACGAGGGCTGTACTATTGTGCCCTTTGTTTTCCAAACTGTTTCAGAACTGTGTTCGTTCGTTTTCCCTTTGTAAACAGGGCTCGTATACGCGACCTCTTTGCGGTCGACCGAATAGAATTGGACCCACCACTTGTGGTAGCGGTTGGCGATTAATATTATATTACGTGACGTTCGACAGTAGGCTTTTATAAAAGTCGGAAGTTACATCAAATAACATCGCATTGTAGTGTCGTCGAAGCGTTTTAACGCACAGGATATTTATCGACAATATTTCATTCGCAACATACATTTGGGGTTTAACGTAAAAATCACATGTTGCACTTTGCCCAGCAGTGGAGCATATATAGGCTGTTACTTTACGTTTTCCTTCAACTTATAATCATATCTTCTGTCTCTTCTTTAGTAACTCAATGGTAGTTTAGACTCAGGTCAGTCTCCTCTCCGTGATTACTGACTTCAAAATATCTTTTATGAAACAATAACGTATTTAATAAGACTGTTAGTTTATTGTTAAGTGGTAGCCTAATATTTGACATTTTTGACACAAAGCTTGAACGGCATAGATATTGTTATTTCCAATTACTCACTTTTAAGGTACTCTCGGGCTGAAGCAATTGTATATTTGAACAATATTCCACAATTAACAATTGATCAATATATTATTTTATATTATTATTTTATAGAATCATTTTATACGCATTTCTAAGACCTCTGAGTATCACATATTACTTTCGCAATATTAGTTTAATAAACGACAATCTTCATCCTCCTGCCCTTATCCCAGTTAAGTTGGGTCGGTGAATCGTGTGGTAAATGGTTTTGGTTATGGCTTACGATCGTCCACCGGCCTGATGTCAACCTTTCTTGAGAACATACACCCAGATCCGGAACAATTTTCTACAGATCACACAAGTACTTCCCTAGTGGGAATCGAATCCACACCATTCGGTGTCGAAGCCTATAGCTTAGCAATTGCGCCACTGAGTTGTCCGCAAACGTATGAGCAACTTATCTATTATATTATTTCTCGAGAAATTAGCGCAGAACGCTTCGCTGATAAACTGACCCTATCAACGATTCAATTTCCTTTTGTTGTTTCTAATTGTGTCGTTTACTAGATAAGATCGTACATGTGTCACTAAATGTAACGTCCGAACGAAAATAACTGTTTCAGTATATTGCTAACATTGCATTATTTGATTTTATCGTTAAAAACTTCAACGAGCAGTCATTATTTGATTCGTTATCATGCTATTAGAAGATAGCCGTTAAAAGATGCGGAATTTTTAGAGCCGGAAAATTCTAGTTATCATTAGTATGCCAAATCCGCAGCATAAAAGGATAGTGTTTAGATGCGAAATAGGTACTACTAGTAGTCCATACATATTTTAATTTTATTAGTATGATGCGTAGTCCTTATTATTGCTGGCGGCTTTACATAGCCTAAGTCATAAACTTAAACCCGCATATGTTTTAAAATTATTTTCTTTTTTTTTTTCGATTTCTGCTATGCGGGCTTTTATTGTTGGCCAGTGTTGCTATCTGTCCCGCAACACTATTTCCTCTTTGCTATGTGTACACGATTTTTGTTTTCGACCTCTTTTATTTGCTTTCGTTTTATTACGATAAGAATAAATTGTCTTGATTGTTCGCACAGTTGGCTTAGTCGAAGATTGGTATTTATTGTTATTGTGTACAGTTAGTTACTCTAATTCCTTTGTATTTTAGCTTTTTGCATTTTCAACCTCTTGCATGCGTCAACATACTGCGATGACGTTCCAATAATCGTCCGTTTTCCTTTTTTAGGATATGACGCGGCAGTCGATACCGGTCGCGACAAAAGGTATGTACTATTTGTTTTCACTTCTACACCGTTATAATATTTGCCTTTTTCAACCAGTATCTTGTATAATTTGCTTCGTTATCTGGGAGTTAAAAAATATATACGAGAAAAAGTTAATGAATCGTCTCAAATTTCGTTATTACTATAAAAGTTTTCGTCTAATACGGATAGCTCTGTTCCATCTGGTATCTGTCAATTGCAGGTGGGAGAGTGTTGAAACATGAATGAATTGATAAGTAAATAGTGAAAAATAACTCTATAAACTTTTATATGATAAAGTCATTGTGAAACCAAAGGTGCCTGAAGTCAAAGCCCATTGCAGGTTACCGATGCTACGTTTTTACTTTGCTATTAGTCATATCATTGTCGTAATAAACGTCGCTACGTCTATAGCTTTCCTTCACAATCGACGGAAATCAATGCAGTCAACAAGACAAACAATCGAATGGTCGGCAATAATACTAAACGGGGGCATAGTTAACATAAAACCCTAACACACCACGCAATCCGTAACCGATCATCGTGCGTAAGTAGAACACGAAGAATCAAACAGACGCGCCTTCGACATACAGCCAGTTCCGTTGTTAGACATAATCGAGTCGCGACTTCTTCCTTTTTGTTATTACACAGTTTTAATTTTAGTGCGTGTCGTGACGTGTACGCACAGCGTTTGTCTTTGTTACGGAATCTGCTTGATTGTACACTATGTTAATTCAAAAGTTTGCGCGCTAAATTAATACATAGAGAGGCATGCAGAGGTCAACGCAGTTTTTTTTTTAATTTACATTAAATTGCTATCTAACTGCTGCGTTGAAGGCCGAGCGATGATTAAAAATAAAACATTCCTTTTTCGAAACTGTTAAAACGGCGCGCGCGGGCTAACTTTTTAAAAAACGAGGCCAGCGAGATGTCTTCGATCGCGCGCGCGATGATTCACTCTTTCGATGAGTGGCGTCGTCCCTTTCGCTCGTTAGGCGTTAGAATAAGAGGTGACAGTTCGCCGATGCGATATTCGCACGTGCACGTAATACCGGGGCGCGGGTCAACGGTCTCGGGTCATCTGTTTTCGCGGCAGGTGGACCGCGTTTCGATGTTTTGTATGCGATTCCGGTATCGATTTGTTGTTGTTTGGGATTCGTGAGTGTGGTATTGACTGACTAGTGAATCTCTAACGGAATTAGCTTCTTGAAGTTACACTTCTTTTACGGTGCGCGCGCAAACCGGGAACGACATGAAATTGGTTTCAAAACGACCAACTTCACGGTATTACCATGGCAACCAAAAACTTTTTGACATTATCATTATAATAATCTCGAGTTATTTAATTACAACCGTTATCAAACGCAATTTAAAGTCTTTCATAAACAAGGAATAATGGCACAGAGGATAAACTTTTTAGTTATCTTTCTTTTGCTACGCTAAAGAACTATAACTGCATACGTGGGTACATACTTCATATGTATACGTACAATTTTTATATTCTGGAAATCCAATTCAGCGCTCGGTTTGCCGTCGCGGGGGAAGAACTCAAGGTCAGGTTGAGTTCTTTGATTGGCGTTTGATATTACCGTTGATAGTTATATATACTTATGAAAGCCGTGGAAGGTCAGTGGCTGGGCGTGCTCGCGTTTAATTCAGTACACTCAAGTAAACGGAGTTCGAATCACGGCGCCAGCATTAATTAAATGTTTGACTGCAGTTTGTGAAAAAACTTAAATGGCCAAATACAAGTCAAACTAGTTAGCGAGCTATAAAAGAAGAGATGGTCAACGAAATATGATATCCATTAACCGTAAAATCGATGTTTACGTCGGACGCTAACATTCACGATCGATAAGTCGTTTCATTATCCTCGTACGTGCGTCGTCCACGTCATATCGCATGTCCGAACATTGCTTGTCTTGTGCGAAATAAAGCCGTTGTTACTCTTTGTCTATAGACGCCACGTACATTATTATTTTAGTTGGTAAAGCGCCTGTGCGCGTCACCATAAATACACTGATATTCAAACCCGAATTAAATTTATAGCGCCCACTGAATTTAAAATAGGCTGCTTCATCGTAATTCCCTACTTATCCTTACTAATATTATAAAGGCGAAAGTTTGTATGTATGTATGTATGGATGGATGTTTGTTACTCTTTCACGCAAATACTACTGAATGGATTTTAATGAAACTTGACAATAATATAGCTTATACATCAGAATAACACATAGGCTATAATTTGTTGCTATAGTTTGAGGCTGTCTTTTTGTCTGAATGTCACGCCTTCAGTCTATTCCACGCAGACGTAGTCGCGACCAGCAGCTAGTAATATTATAAATGTGAGTTTGTTTGTTACGCTTTCGCGCCAAAACTACACAACCGATTATCATGAAACTTTGTACACATATTCTTAGAGGTATTAAAAATGACATAGGGTTCTTTTTATTAAAAAAATGTTTTTAAAAAAACCGAGCGGGCGAAGCCGCGGGTAAAAGCTAGTAAACTAATAATATAGAATAATGATCAAACCCTCGCCTAGCATCATGCAACACAATTGATAGCAATGAGTGCTGAGTGAGTTGTATGCCTCCGTTCGGTTTCATTCCGCATGGCGACTGGCGCTCGGAGGCGCTCGATCGGGTTTTGGCACAAAGATCTGGATCCGACCCACTTGGCTGAACTACATCAGGTCGCAATACCAGGCCTCTAGTGTTGGCCTGTGTGTATATGTATGACATCTACGCACTTTGTCTATACATTTGGGTAGAAAATTGTCTTTGCCTAAATACGAAAATACATTACTGAATATTCGGCATACTATAACTTAACTCTTTCACAGGCTACAGCGTCTTTTTTCTCCTAGTTATTTCCCTTGCCATTAGGTTATACCAAAATTTTTTTTATGTACCATTTGATTATATACTGTTTGATTATATAATCAAAGTAGTACATACTTTGACTTATACAAACAAAGTCAAAATATTACTAGGATAACGCGATATAATAGTCTATAGGTCGGGATGAATATGTTGAGCAAAATCCTGATGTTCTTCATACATTATATCATATCCGAAAACTTTGAGTTTCAACACAAGTTCAAGGAAGGTTACATTTTACTTCATCAAATCACTTTTAACGAAGCGTGATCTCTCAGGATACGCGTCATCGTTATGCAGTTCGCGCGTGCACCGATGCATTTCCCGCCACCAGTCCACCGTTGCCCAATATTGCATAACAGGCTCTTGGCAACGTTTGTCATTGTTCAATGAATTGATGACAGATCGCTAATTCTGCTCGGTACGCGTATTTTTAATGTATACCACCGGGAAGCTTCGTTAACTGTATTGATTGTAGATATCTTGTTTTATTTTTGGTATTTAAATAGCTATTTTGGGTGTGATCCTAAAAGCACGCCATAGAATCGTACGGTTCTAAAGAAGTCGCAAAGCTGAAGTATTTTATTGATTATGTAATTTAGTGGTGATTGCTCTTGCATACCATACCATACTATTGTATATTTTATTTACTTACAAGAGAGCTATACGGGAACATAGCCCATTCTTTAAGTTGGTCATGTTTCTCGTGGTTTCACTTTTGTTTAGTAGTCAACTAAATTTTTAGTGCTTATCGATAATCGTCCTTAAGTATTTAAGTATATTAAAGTCGGTAACACGTCGTTAAGGCGTCTATTTTTTTAGTTTTAAAAGTACGTTCAGGATAACATTATCCTGTGCTGTAAGGACGTTTTACAAACATAAATTTCACGTGGAGAAACACCCAGATTCGAAACAACTATCTGTGTGGCACAGAAATAGCTGTCCCGTGTGGGGATCGAACCCACGACCCCCGACGCCGAAGCCAATACCTTGGCAACTGCGACGAAGGGTCGAAATTGTTGTCCGACGAATGTGACCCCGAATCGTGCATTTGCCACAATGCGCGGAGGTCGCGCGACCGCCGACCTGGTCACCATGACCTTGACCCTGCCACTCGCGAGGTCTCGGCGATGCTCTTTTGAAGCCACGCGCCAAAATTGCGCGAGCGCAGAAGACGAATTTGCCATGGCAAAACTTGCCCCACGTTTTCTCTGTTACACTACTGGCTACTTATATAGTACTGGCCAGTTGGCTTACTATTATAATTATAAAAATAATCGTTTATTGCCAAGAAAAAAATAGAATGTACAATAAATTTAAGTGCTAAACAAAGGTGAAAACAAAAAAAAAGAATTTAAAAAGAATATTAACACTATTAAATTAACAAAAATATTAATATTACTTAGGGATAAAAAAAAAAGAAAAGCTCCTCGGCAAAAGGTGGAAACTCAGCTAATGCTACAACAGACGGCATAAGGCTGACTGTGTAACGCTGATTTTCAGTTTCCCCTGGCCCTGTTGTTGTTATAGAGCCGAGTATTAAAGTTTCTATTGGTCGGTTAGAAGGCAAAAGTTAAATTCTTCGAAGAAATTAATAAGGCAAATATTCTTATTATTGTACTGGCCAGCGTATTGCTGTGTTAAAGCGACTGTGGGCGACCTTGAAGATGATGTGTGGGCATTGTGAGGAGACGGAAAGGTGGGACACTAGCACAGCTAACCCGAAGAATGCTGTCATTGGTGCCTCGTCTCTTGATATGTAATAAAAAAAATATTTCCAGACACAAAATATTTCTAGTCCCAAACTAAGCAACGCTTGTACTATGGGTACTAGATAACTGATAAACGTACATAAGCATACTTTTCTTTTGTAAATAAATACATATTATAAATATATAAACACCCAGACACTGGAAAAAGTCATTGTTCATCACACTATATTTTTCCAGTAGTGGGGATCGTACCCACACCCTATGGCGCAAGAGGCGGGCTCGCTACCCATTACGTCAATCGGGTCGTCATATGTTATCGACGGTTCGAATGAATTTCAAAGTTCCTTGAATACTTGTAATATAATTGTGTTTCGTACTCGTGTATCTTTAGAAATGACTTTTTAGGCTGATGACTCTATGCTGTTGT